TGACCTCTAAGAGTAACCCTAAAGGATGAGCCGTCTATATCATGAATATTCGCGCAGAATTCCTGAACGAGGAGTGGGGGAGGAGGTGAAAGACCAATAAGAAGGGGCTCCCAACCCTGAGAAACAAAAATGGCAGCTATATCAATAGGAAGGTCAGATAAGATTACCTCACGCTCCACGAGAATGGGGCGTAAGGAGAGCTGAGAAGTGAAGACTTCCTGAGCTGTAGCAGAAATGAATCTGGAACGACTATACGACGTCGAACCACTAGCTAGCTGTGCAGAGGATCGAGAACGCTTACGGGCCATCTAGCATTCATAGAGACAAAACTAATAAGTAATATGAAGAATGCACGTGATGCGATGCAATGTGGAATGAAACACCACACACACAAAAGAGGCACAATAGAGATGCATCGACCAACGTGAATGACCCTAAGCACAAATGAAGTAAGATGAAGATATAGACCAAAAACATGTGTGAACACACCTATCATGGCACGTGATGACAAAGAACCAACGACGGAAAGGAAAGAAAGAAATGAGATGCACAAAAAAAAAAAGGAAACAAAGAGTAAAATAGGTAAGGAATTTCATCGAGCATGTGGCGTTCATCACTTTGTCACACAATTCCAAGCACATATGAGATCCAATCACCCATCTAATCATAGTTCCTCAAACTAGAAACGACGTACTTTAAAATGCAACAAACCACACGTCAAACGGATTAACGGAATGCAAGAACAAACGAATTGAAAATGGATGAAAAAACATGTAAACCACATACTTCGAAGAATGAAGAAATCAACAATGCAATGGAAATCGTGATGCACAATGAGGGAAAGAACTCCCAATGAAACAAGGAATGTCGAAGCCACAATTAATTAAGTAACAATCAAGCAAGAATACCAAGGTAAGCCAAACACACGACAAAGAGAAGGAAAACAAAAAAAAAAAGAAAAAAAATTACCTCAAGAAGAAGTTTGGCAAAGGAAATCCGAAAACCAATATGTTATAGACCGTGGAGTGATGTTATTAGAGGAATATGGGGATGAAATATGGAGGAAATCACGAAGAAAAACGAAGGAGAAGAGAAAAAGAAGAAAATGCGCGAAAAAATGAAACAGGGCCGTTTTAAAATAGGCCTGTCGCTCGAGCGAGGGTCCAGTGAGACTCGGGTGACAGGCAAACTGCTTTTGTCGCTCGAGCGAAGACCAGGCGAGACTCGAGCGAAACATCAAATGTTAAAAATAGCACCAAAAATTTGAATTTTGAGAAAAATAACATAATCTTCAAGAAATGACGAAATTAGCCCCAAATCGTGAAATTTCAAAAATAAGTGAACTACGTAATAGTGGAAAATAATCCAAAAAAAATAGCATGGAATCACTTATGCAATCAAAACCAACAATAAGCATAAAATCACAAACCCGACCACCAGCACGTAGACAAATCGTTAATCCACACATAGTTCAGAATCCTGTGTAGTAAAGTGTATACAGAACATCACCGTGAAAAGTGCCACGTAGTCCATGCAAGCTAGACTCAAAACCTTAAATTAGTGAGAAAGGACACGTGAAAACAACTCGACAAAGGTGAATGTCGACCAAGTGACAGTCAAATCCAATTCGACGAGGACCTATATCAAATACTATGATTGTCACAATTTTACTTCCCCTAACTGTATGATTCCAAATTTTTATTTTTATCTTTATTATTAATTTTTTTTTAAACAAAAGAACTTAAGTGCAATGCCATCCCCATTAGTCAACGTAAATGACCCCTGTAACGAACTTTGGGCTGGTGACTCCCAAGTCAGACGACCATAGGGCACCAGGTCAGAAACCCCTCAGGCTTAATTGTTCGAGTCAAATAGGCCCCGAAGATAGCCATAAGTTCAACAAAGAACAAAAGTAAAACTGGGGAAGACAATATTGATTAGGTTACACTCGTCCCAGATCAAGTCAAATGTACATACAACCCCAATCATAGAAGAACACCATCCCAAGTCTCAACCATGCGGTCAAAACTCACTTACAGGACTACAGTGTGTGTTGTGTGAAAATGAATGACGAGCCATATACCCAGAACTCCTCATTGAAAAATGAACAAAGATGGATCCTCAGATTCATACACATGTTGGAAAAATAGAATTTGATCTTTAATGCAAATGCTAGAATCGTTACATAAAAGTCCAAAAAAAAAATTATTCTATTTTATTTTATCTGATTTTTTTTTTTATTAAAACACACATATAACATAAAACAGAAGACTAAACAAAACAAAAGAAATGCATCACACACACACGGATCACACGCAAGATATGAAGTGATGAGGTACATATGTGATGAATGCATGAACATGCATGAATCCATGATCAAATAGGTGAGCAAACACCAACAGCCGTCCGAAGCGACTCAAACCGCAATCCATCTAGTGGTTTCGTAAGTAGATCAGCCAATTGATTATCAGTAGAGACATGGTCAAGAGAGACAACATGTGATTCAACAAGCTCTCGAATGAAATGATGTCGTATGTCAATATGTTTTGTTTGAGAGTGCAGAATGGGATTCTTAGAAATATTTATCGCACTCGTATTGTCACAGAAAACAGTCATTGTCCCTTGACTAATCCCATAATCACTAAGCATTTGTTTCATTCAGAGAAGCTGAGTACAGCAACTCCCTGCAGCTATGTATTCGGCCTCTGCCGTGGATAAAGATATTGAATTTTGTTTCTTACTTAGCCAGGCTACGAGATTGCTACCCATGTAAAAACAACCCCCAGTCGTACTTTTCCTATCATATGCATTTCCGGCCCAATTGACGTCGGAGTATCCAGCCAAATCAAGATTGGAATTCCTAGAATAGAATATCCCTAGATCCACTGTACCACTGATATACCTGATTATGCGTCTAACATAGTTTAGGTGTGACTCTTTTGGATCTGCCTGAAAGCGAGCACACACTCCTACACTAAATGCAATGTCAGGCCGAGGAGCTGTGAGATAGAGAAGACTACCTATCATGCTACGATATAGGGAAGGATCTACACTCTTACCAGAAGGATCACGACCTAACTTTAAGCTAGTACTCATCGGTGTCCTGGTATGCTTCTTACTATCTAACCCAAATCGCTTAACGAGATCCTTAGCATACTTAGACTGTGAGATAAACAATCCATCCTCTGTCTGTCATACCTGAAGTCCAAGGAAATAACTTAACTCCCCAACCATACTCATCTCGAACTCTCTCTGCAGACACTCAGCAAACTCAAACGCTAAAGACTCAAGAGGAGACCCAAAAATGACATCATCGACATAAATCAGAGCAATGGTAAAATTTTCTTCTATATGTCTAATGAATAAGGTCCTATCTGCACCACCTTGAGGGAACCCATGTTCTTCCAGATATGATATAAGTCTCTCATACCAAGCTCTAGGAGCTTGCTTCAAACCATAGAGTGCTTTGTGAAGTTTGTAGACATAGTGGGGAAATTTTGGATCAACAAATCCCTTAGGTTGTTCCACATTTACTTCTTCCTGAAGAAGTCCATTCAAGAAGGCACTCTTAACGTCCATTTGATACAACTTGAACCCTAAGGTACATGCAATAGCAAGAAGAATCCTAATAGACTCAAGTCGTGCAACAGGGGCAAAAGTCTCATCAAAATCAATCCCCTCAACTTGAGTATACCCCTGAGCAACTAATCTGGCCTTATTCCTAGTTATAGTACCTTGGTCATCTGTCTTGTTCTTAAAGATCCACTTGGTACCAATAACATTACAATTTTCAGGTCTGGGAACTAAGATCCACACATTATTCCTAGCAAATTGATTTAGCTCCTCATGCATCGCATTCACCCAACACTCATCACTAAGGACCTCTTCAACTTTCTTAGGCTTTACCTGAGAAACATAGCTAGTGTACGCTAGATTGTTCAGTACTCTCCTACAAAGTCTCATCCCTTTATCTAGATCCCCAATAATATTATCCTTAGGATGACTAGACTTAACCCTAGTCGATGGTTCCTTAGGATTTTTATCTAGATTTTGTGGAAGTGTTTCCTTTTTAGATGTTTCAAGTTTCTTACGAGATGATTCAGGCACAGGTAGCTCAGTAGGATCACTTGAACTCAAAAGATCACCATCTTTATCACATTTTTTAGCACTCTTCCCCTCACTAACAGTATCGTCTATCACAACATTTATAGACTCCATCACCACACGGGTACGTAAGTTATACACTCTAAATGCTTGGCTATTCCTAGAGTACCCTAGGAAGATCCCTTCATCACCTTTGATTCAAACTTACTCAAGTTCTCTCTATCCCGAAAAATGTAGCACTTACTCCCAAATACTCAAAAATACTTAACAGTAAGCTTTTTACCCTTAAGAATTTCATATGGGGTCTGATCAGTCTTGGGTCTAAGGTAGACTCTATTGATGATGTGGCATGCAGTGTTAATAGCTTCTCCCAAAAAGTGTAGGGCTAATTCCTTGCCATGAAGCATGGCTCTAGCCATGTCCTGAAGGACACGATTCTTCCTTTCAACTATCCCATTTTGTTGCGGAGTGATAGTAGAAGAGAACTCATGCAATATCCCTTCGTCCATACAGAAACTCTCAAGATTAAAGTTCTCAAACTCTTTTCCATGGTCACTATGTATCCTAGACACTTTGAGATTCAGTTCATTGCTAAGCCGTTTACACAGAGACTTTATGAGGTCACAAGCATCAGATTTTTCCCTAAGCAATTCTATCCAAATAAACCTCGAGAAGTCATCTACCACGACAAGAATGTATCGCTTACCACCTAAACTCTCAGTCCTAGAAGGTCCCATCAAATCCATGTGTACCAACTCCAGGGGTCTTTTGGTTAGAATTTTAGTAGTCTTCTTATGGCTCCCCTTAAGTTGTTTACCTAGTTGACATAGTCCACACACAACATTTTCACTAGGAACTATCTTAGGCAACTCATCTATCAATTCTTTCTTAGCTAACTACTCTAGACTCTTATATTTCAAATGACCTAATCTTTTGTGCCAGAGCTCACTCACATCAATTTTAGCACTCCTACACACATAGTTAGAATTAGGTAATACCCCATAACAATTGTCAGATGTTCTAACCCCTTCAAAGACTACCCCACCAGATGAATCATGCATGGTACATCTCTTCTGCACAAAACTAACCTCAAAGTCGTCATCACAAATCTGACTAATACTTAACAAATTTGACTTTAAACCTTCCACATAAAGCACATTAGAGATCACAGGTAAACCATGCATTTGTACAGTACCTTTGCCAAGAATAGGTGCAGAGCCCCCATCTCCAAAGGTAACCATACCACCATTACATTCATCAAGGGTAGTGAATAGAGCTTTATTACCACACATATGCCTAGAACATGCACTATCCAGGTACCACATATTAGAATTTTGAGCTTTTAAAGCAACATGAGCAACAAAACAGTTTTCTTGACTTGAAAGTCTTCCTAGATCACCCTTTTTGACCCAAACCTTTTTAGATGACAAAGTACTCTTAGTTAGCTTAGTAAGCATCTCAGTCAAATGACTAACTTGATTAGACAGAAAGCTAACCTGACTAGGAATGTTTTGATTTCTACGCTCATTGCCTAACTTATAACATCTAGGCCTAGTGTTTCCTAGAGCTCCACAGTGGTGACAGGTAGGAATGAACCTAGGCTCAAAGGTATGTGTCTGTGGGTACCTAGTCCTGATGTTCCTACGTGATTGATGACTCTGTTCCCTAGGAACACTCTTACCCTTACTTGGACTCCTAACAGCATTAGACTTAGAGGCAGACACAAAGACAGTCTTAGATGGTCCAGCAACATGTGTATTACCCTCAACATATCCTAGACCTCTCTTATCTCCCACTGGCTTATTCATTCCCAACAGGTTATCCAATTTATTAGTTCCACTTATGAATGTCTGAAGATGAGCATTAGATTTCTCCAATTCACTAGTCAAACTCTTAACCTTGTCTTCCAATTTCTCATTGACACACTTTAACTCACTACCACTCTTAAGTGAATCCTGAAGCTTACTACCCAGTTTCTTTTTTTCCCTTTCAAGTTCGTCAACCTTTTTAAGTAGGGCTTTATTGACCTTCTTTATTTTAAGACTCTCCTTAAACAACAGTTGATAAGCTTCTTGTAAGTCTATGTCATCCTTATCCTCATTACCAGAATTATCGTTTGAATGTTCTTCCTCAACCTTGTCACTTTCCTTATCAGATTCACTCTTAACAGTAGCCACAAATGCCATATAATTTCCTTCATCATCACTACTAGAGGATTTTTGCCTATCACTGGTCTCAGATTCATTATCAGTAAGTGAGACAACTAAGGCCCTATCTTTCCCTTTTCTTTGATTTTTCTTATAGCTAGGACAATCATTCCTATAGTGACCTATTCCTTGACACTCATGACATCTAATCAAACGTGGCTTCTCACTTGACCCTTTATTGTTAACTTTCTCAATTTTATCTTTTGTGAATCTGCTAGGGGCTCCACTCTTTCTATCCTGAGGCTTTCTCCTATTCTTGAGGACTTTTTGAAATTTCTAAACAAAGTATGCGATTTCCTCATCCCTAAGTGACTCAGTATCAGAAGATTCATCTTCTTTAATGGATTTTAGGGCTATGGACTTTCCTTTCTTATGTTGTGAGATAGTGAGTTCATAGGTTTGCAAGGATCCTACCAATTCTTCGATCTTAACTTCATCTAGGTCCTTACTTTCCTCAATGGCAGTGACTTTAGGCCTAAATCCCTCAGGCAGAGATCTAAGTACTTTTCTCACAATCTTAGTCTCGGAAATTCTCTCACCTAGGTTGAAACTAGAGTTAACTATATCATTTAGTTTAGCGTAAAACTCATCAAAGGTTTCATCATCTTTCATCCTCACTTCTTCAAACCTAGAGGCTAGCATTTGCAATTTTGAGTTCTTTACTATCTTAGTTCCCTCATGTGTAGTTTTGAGAATGTCCCAAATCTCTTTAGCAGCTTCACACATAGACACTCTCCTAAACTCTTCTGGAGATAGAGCCATCAATAATGCATGAATTCCCTTACTATTCCAATTACATGCAGCTAATTCATCTTTAGTCCATAGTGATATGTCAGTAAGGTTAATTGTTCCTGATACGGTAGTAGATGGAGGTTTCCAACCATTTTGAACGCTAATCCAAACATGCTCATCTAAGGACTTAAGGAACGCACGCATTCTAACCTTCCAATATGCATAATTACTTCCGTCAAAAAATGGAGGTACAGACAGTGATTGACTCATCTAGACAACTATGGGTCAGGACTAGAGATTAAGCTCAGATACCACTTGAAAAACCTATCGTTCGACCTAACTAATACCTAGAGGGGGTGAATAGGTGTTCTTGCGGAATTAAAAACTTTTTGAATAATTCATGCAACAAGTCACATAAATTATAATTTGTCCAGATTAATTCACGTGCTTTATCTACCTATGTTGGATTACCATTGACAAGTAAATAAATTAAAGCGGTAAAAACACAATAAACATGTTGACGGAGAAACCCAACTGGGTAAAAACAATGGGCACAAGCCAGTAGAGATTCACTATTGTAGAAACCAACTTACAGCACGCCAGACATCATTGACACTCTCAATTTTCTGACCTCCTTACTGTATGAACTCAAGACCCTCCTGGATTTTGCAGATCCGTGCTAAATCCTAGCCTTGTATAATTTCTACCTCTCGTGAATCGCCACGCACTCCAGCTCTTCAAGCAAATCCTTCCCGGATCTTCAAACTGATGATCTTCTGGAAGTTTAATTGGAGTTGTGAGACAGGTGTTTTGTTGTTTATGGATTTGATGTTTTTACTCAACAAACCAAAGATTGGTATGAGAACAATGAAGGATTTCATTGGCTTTTAATCCTTGGAGAGAATGATTTGGATTTTTGGTTGCCAAGGAATTGAAAGAATATTCAAAGTGTTTTCAATGTGAATTTTCGGGTTAATGAACACGAATAGGACGTTTGGTATATATAGAGGTTGATATATGGTAATGTGGAGCAACAAACATTCGTGAGCGTTTAAAATTAGAATTGGCTAGGTAACACGGTCGCTCGAGCGAGGTACTGGCGAGCCTCAAGTGACGTACATTTCACTCGAGCGATGGCTCAGCGTGAGTCCAGCAAAGTTGGTTCTGCAATTGTGGCTCGAGCGAGGTCAGGGCAAGACTCTAGCGAGATCAAAGCGCCGCTTGCATCTTCGAGGCATCCCACACAACCCTAGACCTAGCCTATAAACTTTAGTTAATTGCAACTCTAGTCCCTAAACTATTGGACATTGACAATTTGGTCCTTGACTTTACAATTTTGACAATTTTGTCCTTGGTCACAGATTTGCCAATTACATATTTTCCTAACAAATTGGATGGGAAAACTGTTTGGCATTTAAACTGTCCAACAGGGTAATGTCAAGTGGCAAAGTGTAAACTAAATTGTACACCATAGTATACATGTAAAAAAGTTCTTACCGATTGAACTTTGCTATTTGTACACCAATTTTTGTCATGTTGTTTGACACTTGCCTTGTTGTCAAGTGTCAATTGGATGGAAAAATTGTTTTAAATTTAAACTGCCCAACAGGGTAATGTCACGTGGAAAACTGTAAACTAAAGTGTACACCACGGTATACATTTAGCAAGGTTCTTACCGATTGAACTTAACTATTTGTGCACTGCCTTTTGATAAGTTGTTTGACACTTGCATTGTTGTCCTGTGTCAATTGGATGGGAAAACTATTTGGCATTTAAACTGTCCAACAGGGTAATGTCAAGTGGCAAATTGTAAACTAAATTGTACACCATAGTACACGTGTAACAAAGTTCTTACCGATTGAACTTTGCTATTTGTACACCAATTTTTGACACGTTGTTTGACACTTACCTTGTTCTTAAGTGTCAATTAGATGGAAAAACTGTTCAAAATTTATACTGTCTAATAGGGTAATGTCACGTGGAAAAGTATAAACCTAGGTGTACACCATAGTGTACATGCAGGTAGGTCCTTGCCGATTGAACATTGCTATTCGTACACTGATTTTTAACAGGTTGTTTAACACTTGCATTGTAGTCAAGTGTAAATTGGATGGAAAAATTGTTTCAAATTTAAACTATCTAACAGGGTAATGTCACTTGGCAAAGTGTAAAATAAAGTGTACACCATAGTGTACATGTAGCTAGGTCCTTACCGATTGAACATTGCTATTTGTACACTCATTTTGGACATGCTGTTTGACACTTGCATTGTTGTCAAGTGTCAATTGGATGGGAAAACTATTTGAAATTTAAACTGTCCAGCACAGTAATGTCACGTGGCAAAGTGTATACTAAATTGTACATCATAGTGTACAAGTAACATGGTTCATACAGAGTAAACTTTGCTATTTGTACAGTGATTTTGGCACGTTGTTTGACACTTGTATTGTTGTCACGTGTCAATTGGATGAAAAAATTATTTGAAATTTAAACTGTCAAGCAGGGTAATGTTACGTGGCAAAGTGTAAATTAAGGTGTACACCGTAGCGTAATGTAGTAACGTCCTTGTCGATTGAACTTTGATATTTGTACACAGATTTTGGAGACGTTGTTTGACACTTGCATTGTTGTCTAGGGTCAATTGGAGGGAAAACTGTTTGAAATTTAAACTGTCCAGCAGGGTAATATCATGTGGCAAAATGTAAACTAAATTGTACACCATAGTGTACATACCGATTGAACATTGCTATTTGTACACCGATTTTTGACACGTTGTTTGACACTTGCATTGTCGTCAAGTGTCAATTGGATGGGAAAACTATTTAAAATTAATACTATCTAACAGGGTAACTCCATGTGGCAAAGTGTAATCTAAAGTGTACACCATAGTCTACACGTAGCTAGGTCCTTACCGATTGAACAATGCTATTTGTACACTGATTTTTGACACGTTGTTTGACACTTGCATTGTTGTCAAGTGTTAATTGGATGGGAAAATTATTTGAAATTTAAACTATCCAACAGGGTAATGTCACATGGCAAGGGGTAAACTAAAGTGTAAACCATAGTGTACATGTGGCAAGGTTTTTACTCATTGAACTTTGCTATTTGTACACTGATTTCTGACACGTTGTTCGACCCTTACATTGTTGTCAAGTGTCAATTTGATGAGAAAATTGTTTGAAATTTAAACTATCCAACAGGGTGACGTCACGTGGTAAAGGGTAAACTAAAGTGTACTCCATAGTGTACATGCGGCAAGGTTTTTACTCATTGAACTTCGCTATTTATACACTGATTTTTGACACGTTGTTTGACACTTGAATTATTGTCAAGTGTCAATTGGATGGGAAAACTATTTGAAATTTATATTGTCTAACGGGTTAATGTCACGTGGCAAAGTGTAAACTAAAGTGTACACCATGGTGTACATTCAGCAAGGTTCTTACCGATTGAACTTCGCTATTTGTACACTGCCTTTTGACAAGTTGTTTGACACTTGCATTGTTGTCAAGTGTCAATTGGATGGTAAAACTGTTTGAAATTTAAACTGTCCAGTAGGGTAACGTCACGTGGTAATGTGTAAACTAAAGTATACACAATAGTGTACATGTAGCATGGTTCATATAGAGTGAACTTTGCTATTTGTACATAGATTTTTGACCTGTTATTTGAGACTTGCATTGTTGCCAAGTATCAATTGGACGGAAATCTATTTTAAATTTAAACTGCCCAATCGGGTAATGTCACGTGATAAAGTGTAAACTAAAGTGTACACCATATTGTACATGTAACAGCGTCCTTACCGATTGAACTTTGCTATTTGTACACCGATTTTTGACACGTTGTTTGACACTTGCATTGTTACCAAGTTTCAATTGGATGAGAAAATTGTTTGACATTTAAACTGTCCAATAGGGTAATGTCACGTGACAAAGTGTAAACTAAATTGTACACCATAGTGTACATGTAGCAAAGTTCTTACCGATTGAACTTTGCTTTTTGTACACCAATTTTTGACACGTTGTTTGACACTTGCATTGTTGTCAAGTGTCAATTGGATGGAAAAACTGTTCGAAATTTATACTATCTAATAGGATAATGTCACGTGGCAAAGTATAAACTAAAGTGTATACCATGGTATACATTTAGCAAGGTTCTTACCGATTGAACTTCGCTATTTGTACACTGCCTTTTGTCAAGTTGTTTGACACTTCCATTGTTGTCAAGTGTCAATTGGATGGGAAAACTATATGAAATTAAAACTGTCAAGCAGGGTAATGTCACGTGGTAATGTGTAAAATAAAGTATACACAATAGTGTACATGTAGCATGGTTCATACAGAGTGAACTTTGCTATTTGTACACAGATTTTTGACATGTTGTTTAACACTTGCATTGTTGTCAAGTATCAATTAGATGGGAAAACTGTTTTAAATTTAAACTGTCCAATAGGGTAATGTCACATGACAAAGTGTAACTTAAAGTGTACACCATATTGCAATGTGGCAAGGTCCTTACCAATTGAACTTTGTTATTTGTACACAGATTTTGAACACGTTGTTTGACACTTGCATTGTTGCCTAGTGTCAATTGGATGGGAAAACTATTTGACTTTTTAACTTTCCAGTAGGGTAACGTCGCTTGGCAAAGTGTATTCTAAAGTTTACATCATAGTGTACACGTAGCATGGTGCATACAGAGTGAACTTTGCTATATGTACACTAATTTTTGACATGTTGTCTGACGCTTGCATTGTTGTCAAGTGTCAATTGGATAGGAAAACTATTTGAAATTTAAAATGTCCAACAGGACAATGTCACGTGATAAAGTGTAAACTAAAGTGTAAATCATAGTGTAATGTAGCAAGGTCCTTGCCGATTGAACTTTGATATTTGTACACAGATTTTGGACACGTTGTTTGACACTTGCATTGTTGTCTAGTGTCAATTGGATGGAAAAACTATTTGAAATTTAAACTGTCCAACAGGGTAATATCACGTGGAAAAATGTAAACTAAAGTGTACGCAAAAGTGTACATACCGATTGACCATTGCTATTTGTGCAACGATTTTTGACACATTGTTTTACACTTGCATTGTTGTCAAGTGTCAATTGGATGAGAAAACTATTTGAAATTTAAACTATCCAACAGGGTAATGCCACGTGGCAAAGGGTAAACTAAAGTGTACACCATAGTGTACATGTGGCTAGGTTTTTACTGATTGAACTTTGCTATTTGTACACTGATTTTTGACACGTTGTTTAAC